TATGACACAAGAGTACAAGCTTCTTTCCAAATAGCTTTTCAGGATGTTTGTATTACTTAATTAATAATTAATAATAAATAATTAATGATTATTATTTATAATTCAACGTATGTAATTAAATCAAACTTGATGATGTTTTAGTTTAAACCATTAGGGTCATGTGTAGTTACCACAACCGTACATGATAATAATTATGATAACAATAGTTTCTTTTGGTGATAGAGTTGCTTCTACCTCCCCTCCCCACCATCAATGTGTATCTATATATAGTTAGTAACTATTGGCCATGGTTACCGACACAAAAAGAAGTTTTAAGGCCACACAAAAATAACACATAGAAGAACAATTTAAGGCCATGGTTTTGGCAACATTGTATTTGGTTTAACTAATAAGAAAAGTTTTATAACTATAAATATTACTTTCTCCTTTTTTTTAAAGATATGCCTAAAATATTAATTTTTTAATTGACATTTTTAAAAATGAATTTTTAAATTAAAATATGTATTTATGTTGGTCATATATGTTTTTGCTACATCCAAAATTGGTACCTTTGCAATTGGAAAGAGATGAGTACCGTACTTACATTTTCAACCAGTAAGGCGATGGCAAATTTTGACACGCAACTCATATATATAACTTTTTACATTAATTTAATATTTATAATATTTTAATTTAAAAAACTCAAGATTTGGCATCTTTCATTGTTTTTTGAAGTACTAGATACGACCGATCTATTTCTATTTCTACCATTTGACAACATACTACGCTGAAATTCAACTCCACCCAACAACGGACATCACAACAATCAGGTTTTGTATGTACCAGGCTTTTACTCCTTGGTTGCAACTAGGAGAAAAATAAAATTATTCATTTTTTGGTGTTTCGAAGAAATAAAATTGAAATGATTGAATCGAGTGCGATTGAACTTTGAAGAATGAATTGTTGGTTTTTTTCCCCAAACATAAACGACATACAGGGTTAAATTCATAAAGCTTGAGAAGTGGGGCAGACGAGGGTAAAATTGTATTTTAAGTATATTTCCCGTTGAAATTAAGAGGCATTAATTGTTTTTCTTAATCATGCTGAAGTTACCTAAAACGTCTAATATTTAGAAATAAAGAGAGTAATTTTGGTTTCAGTTTAATTAATTAATTAATTAAAGTTATTTATGCATTAGTGATATTAAAATATATGTTAATTTTTATAATTTTTATGTAAATTAATTATAAATTTTTTTTTTCTATCTTTTGCCTTAAGAGCACATGATTGGAGTGTAATAAATGTATCATTTTATAATTAATGCATATAAAAATTAATAAAAAGTTAATTTGAATTTAATTAATTGATTAATTAAAATTATACCTTAACCTATACTTTTAAAATACAAATTAAACAAACTCATAAAAAAATATACTTGTTATACCATTAATTTATATTTTTAAAACACATATTAATCAAACCGTTATTTGTTTCCTAATAAGTCAATCAAAATTCTAAATTATACTGCATTAATTTATGAGCAGCGCTAGGGGCACTCGCCTTTTGCACTCTCCAGCCAACACTTCCCCTTTCATTGGGCCACGTAAGCTTGTTCCAGCTTTGAAGTGCAACCTCTTAAAAACAAAAAAACCGGAATAACGTGGCCCAATAAAAGTGAAAGTGTTCGCCGGGGAGTGCAGGAGGGGAGTGTGCCTAGCACTCCTCTTAATTTATAGGTATTGTATTTGTAACGTTCAGAAAACAATAAACAAACAGTCGAGCATTTAGGTTTTCAATATAAAATTATAAAAATATATATAAAGAATATAAAAATTGACAT